GCACTTGCCCAACAGAGCAGCCTCACCACGTAACGTCTTAATGGGACTGCTGGGTCTTTGCATTAGCTGCATTTGACACTATGACAGCAACAATACATCCCAGACAGAAATCGAGACAAGACGCAGTAATTAGGTCAAACCTTCAGGATAGAGCTGTCATCACAAAACATAAATGTAAATTAGTTTCCCATTGCCCAAGCTCCATAAGCTGTGTTACTGCTAGTGGTTGTCTAAGCGAGATAAAGGACTGGAAGAAATGAGGGTCATTCCTCCTCTCACTATTCTTCACAATTACCCCGTGTTTAATTGATCTGGATTAATTATTTAAGGTAAATTTAGCTTTCCTGACCTAATGGCAACATGTAAACTGATTAACTTTACAAAGCCAGCAAAATGATCTGCACAGCCAGAGCAGCTCCTGCCATGTATTATTTAGGCCAAGCTATCCTGTGTCTCTACCAGCAATGTGCTGCCAAAGACAAGGCAGCGAGCGAGCAGGCGTGACATGGGTCTGCTCCAGGATGGGGCTGGGCTCCCCTCAGCACCACCAGGAAGGGAGGAGGAAGAGGAGGAGGAGGAGGAAACATCCTGTGCTATGGCAGCACACGGTGCTGGGGTCCTGGGGTCACATCTGCGTGGGCTTGGGGGAAGGAAGGAAAAGGAAGAGAGAAAATCCCCCAGGGTGGGATGAGGGTTGGGCGCTCACAGGGAGCTCAGGGCAGAGTTGCAATGAGGAAAGAGGAGCATCCAAAGGCAGGTTGAGCAGGACCAAAGAGTCAGGCTGCAGTTTGGCTGGCAGAGCCAAGCGATGCTGCTGCTAGCACGGCCTGACCCCAAAAAAGCAAAGGCAAAACAGCCCTATGTCCATCTCTGTTTTGGCAGTCCCGTCACAGCCTCCCATCACTGGGGGTTATAGGGCAAAGAGGTTTATTTTGTGCAGATAATGCCTATCTTCACTAGAAATCAAAGCCTAGATAAACTTTCCAAGAGCTTCTGCTCCAATTTGGAGCTGAGCCCTGCAGTGGGAAATGCAGTGCCCTACACGGACTGATAAGCAACTCAGTAAAATTGATTCCTGGGGTAAATTATGGGCACCAGAAGAAAGTGATTTGTTTAGATATCCCCAGCATTCCGCATCTCTTCTGGCCAACTGCTAAGGCAGGTACACAGATAAATGAGAAGAAAACACTCGTCACTGCACTGGCTTCAGGGAAGGAATAGATAAGGCTGATAAGGCTGCAAGTGAAACTCTCCTCCAGGCTGATGCAAATACACACTTGGGCAAAGGCTGCTCGGCTACAGCAAAAATGCTGTCTCCGTTGTTTGCAACAACAGCACCTCCAGGCACAAACAGGACAATAACCCCCTGTCTCCATGAAAAGCTGCTCGTCCAGAGATCAGCAGCAAAACAGGCGAGGCAGGGAGCTGGGAGGAGACAGAGATGTCCAGAGTCCTCCCCGGAGGATGCATCTGCAGGCACGAGCCGAGCTCTCCAGCCCCAGGGAAGGAGGCAGCCCCTGGCTGGCTCTGGGTAAGGGTGCTGTTAGCTTACCAAACACAAGGGCAGGGGACACAGGGGCACCAGAAGATGGGACAACAGCCCATCCAACCTCCCCATGCCTTTACAGAGGCTCTCAAACCATCTCCCTCCTCTTTAAACAGAGATTCATGCAGCCCTATGAGCCCTACTACAAGAACTGATGGAGGTTTTCTGCCAAATTGCTGTGACCAGTTTTTTTTTTTTTTCCCCTCAATTTCTTTTACATCCCAACAATTCTTTCCCTGTATTTATTTCTACTCAGCTTTCTACCTCTGGGACCCGAGCAAGCCATCGAACCTGGATTAAAAACGCCACAGAAGAATTCAAGCCTTGACATGGCCAAAGTATTGGTTTCCAGTGAAACAAAACAAAAGGCTAAGATGAAGTAACTATTTCAGCAGCTCAAACACAGACGTTGCCAATGGAGACTGAGGAGAGATAAGACAACACCCCCCTCCAGGTCTCACAGAGGAAACTCCCAAATCCAAGCCCTATTTTCCAGCAGCGTTCCCCACCCTGACTCCAGCTGAAATGGTGGATAAGCCACATTTAAAAAGATGCTTTAAAAAAGGGACAGAAAAAGTCAGGCTTCCCAGCAGGGCGGCGGGAAAGTATTTCCTCCCAGGGCAGGTTTTGTTTCCAGGCTGTGGGACATCTGCAGCTTTCCAGTCCCGAGGAAGGGACTAAGCAGACCTCAGGCCTGACCCAGGCAAGCAGAGAGAACTCAACAGCACTCAGTGTTTGTTTTTAGTCAAAAAAAGTGTATTTCTTTGGATGATGATCTTCGCTGGCAACCCCCAGACCTACCAGGCTGCCTGACACCGACTACTGCAAGGGCAGAAGCTGATGGGAAGGGACTGGCAGGGCTGGAGGAGAGCAGAGCCCCAGGTCCTGCGCTGACCCAAACCAGCACTGGCAGCAGCTCAGAGACCAAGGCAGAGCCTTCCCCAGGCCCCCCTCACACAGCAGCTCTACAAACACAAAGAAAATTAGTGCAATGGGAGACAAATACAAGACTGACCACAAAAACATGACCATCAGTGTAGGAAAGAGGCAGCTCTAAAATAAGTGAATTTATACCTGCATATTAATTTATGCTGAAACCTAAAAATCCTACTGAGACACTTGTTTTAATTAAAAGGAGGGGTCACTTAGCAGCTCCCCCACCGGCACCTCCATCCCAGGGTCGTCCATGCTGGGCACAAACACTGAGGAATGTGGCTCCAGCTCACCCGCTGGCGTAACATGTTTGCTTTGCGACTTGTCGGACTCCTGCATCGGTTGTACGGCTGTACTTTGGTCCAAGAACATTTCACCCAAATGTATTAACCTAGCACTACATCCACTAGAGTAAACATTTTATTTTCCGAGAGGAACGCACGCGCCACTTTGTTAAATCGACCAAGGGACGTATCAGCTTTGTTTGTATTCAACCTTTTTCGGCAAATTCCCAGGGCAGATGATGCCAGTTTTGCAGAAATTGCAGGAATCGTGCTGGCCCCCGGGGCTTGGCCATGTGAGGAGGCGGCTGGCAGAGCTGTCATGGCATGCTGGAGCCCCTCATCCCTACCAGGCTGGTGGGGTCCAGATCCCACACTGCAAACACCATTGTGGGACCTGTAGTCCTGTGCTGGGTTTGGAGTGGGCAGACCAGGGAAGGGAAAGGGTTGGGTGGCTCCAGCCACGGCTGCCAGGGGTGGACAGCCCAGGCTGCCAGCATGCTTCAGTTCTTGGGAGCAAAGAAATCCAAGCATGTGTGTATTCATCTGTACAGTCAAGGGGCACTGGGAAATAGCCCCTACCACACCGCAGCCTTCCCCAGGGCAGGGGTCTGCTGCTGGAGGGCATGGGGCCAGTGCTGCTCTCGGGGTGTGCACCCCAGGGACTGCAGGAGGGCTGCAGGGAGGCCTGTGCCTCACCACACTGCTGCCTATCCGACAGCCCCTTCCCTGCCCAAACTCCCTCCAGCACTGATCCCTGCCAGCCAAAGCCATGGGGCGGGCACGGCACAGCCCCATCTTGCACCAAGCAGCACAAAGTCCCTTCACACAAGGCCGGGTGCCCACCCAGCCGGGACAGGCGGCAGCACGACCAGAGGGCAGGCTGCCTTGGGTCACTTAGCGCTGGTACTGCATGGAGGAGAGCAGGATTTGTTTGTGCTGCCGGGTGGCTTGTTTGTGTTAAAAGTACATCTTGTCTCAGAGACGGCGTTTCAGGTAGCCGCTGAGGGTGGCTGGGCATTAATGGTGCAAGGAGCCCCCCCAGGGATGCACGAGCACGCTGACAGGACTTACGTTACCATTACCCCTCCCAGCTGCAGTCCTGGCCATGGGCACACTCTCGGTGCTGTGTTAGCCTAAATCTCCCCCAGGAGGCTGGGCTGCCCCAGCACAGGCTCTGAGCACCACAGCACTGGCTCCTGTGGCTCAGCTAACGCTACCGCTAGGCGACAGTGCTTCGCCCGCGCATCCGAGCCTCGCTGCCATCAATGTTTAACCCCGGTAACCTCAGCTGACCTCCCCTCTGGATACCTGCCAAGGGGCTCAGGGTGAGCCTGAGCAAACTTCACCTCCCATGGCAAGGTAAAGCTGGCAGTGTCAGCGCTCACTCCAGCCAGGGACACCCCTGTGGTCCCTCTAACAACCAAGATAAAGCTTTCTGGCTCCACTAGGACTGCTAGCTCCAGTTTATTACATATCATCTGGTTGTTAACGAAATATGCTACTTATCTCTTATTACAGAAATGGTAAGAGCAGCACAAAATATCTCCCTGCTCACCTCCTGCCTCAAAATGTCTCTCTGCTCACCTCCTGCCTCAAAAGGATGAAGTAGCCATAAATTTCTGTGCACTACAAACCCGCCTGGGCTCAGCCCTAGTGCTGTGGTGCTGGGTGTGCTCCTGGGGCTCTCACAGCCAAGCTGCCAGCAGCAGCACCAAGCCTGGCTGGCAAACGGCAGTCGTGTAAGTGCCCACCCCAATCACAGTGCTGGGGAGGTGTTTGGACGGCTCGCACACAAAGTCAGCGGGTACACTTACTAAATAAAATGCCCTTTTTGTTTCTGTAGGCATCTTTTCCAGTGGAGGTGTCAGCTGGTTTCCACAGGAAATTTCTCCAGCAAATCCCCACGCCTCTGTGCAGGGGGGCAGACACCAGGACTGCACTGCAGGAGGAGCTTTTCCGTCCTGCCCACAGCCAGCACCACGGGAGCCTGCAAGTCACAGCCGGGCAGCCCTTTAAAGCTTCCCAGGCATGTGCAGGGCCACGGGCATGGATCCTGGTGGAGCCTGCAGGGTCTCAGCCCCACAGAGGGCTGTCCTGTGCTCCACAGCTCAGCCATCAAGGCACAGACACCTGCAGCCCGACACATGCAGGAGCAGGGCCACACTGATTTCACCCTGTCACTAATCACCAGCCTCCTGCCACCATACCCAGGGCTCACCCCAGCACCTACCACTTACCTTCTGTGGTAGCATATTCACAGCGCCCAGGAAGACCCCTCAGCAGCAGCCCCAGCCCAGCTCCTTCTGGTGGAGCCTCCCCCTTCCAGACGTAGCTCATTAGCACTAACAGGGCTCCCCCAGCCTGCTCCCCCCTAGCCCAGCTGCAGAAGATGGGGAAGAAGATGGAGGCTGGGGATGGAAAGTACCAGCCTTCCCCTTGGGGTTCAGTTGGGGGGCCACAGGATGCCCTGCCCTATGCTCCCAAGCCCTGCTCTGCTCCTTTTGGACATCCTGGTTCTCAGTGAGCCCTCCCACAGGTGCCCTCATGTGTGCTCCCACCTCGCATTCATCTCTGCTCATGGAAAAATCGAGCCCCCAGCTCGCCCTGCCGCAGGCTGAGTGCCCTTCCCACAGGACAGCCCGGCCACTCATGGGCTCCTTTGCTCGCCACCTCGTGGTGGCAGCAGGCAGCCTGACATGGTCCGTGGCCTCACAGCCCCACAGCTGGAGTCCCACAGATGTACGGGGTGCTGAGACCCACCTGGCAGTGTCTCACGGCCCCCATTCTTGCCCCACAGTGAGCACGACCCAACGGCGGTGACATGGGTGGATTTACACCCCCCCTGGACCCACGACAGCCCCTCCACAATGGAGGAGGGACAGGTGGGCCTGGTTTGCAGTGCGGTGGTTTTGTAGCCACCCCAGTGTTTGCAGCCCCAGGGCTGATGCCCTACGCTCATAGCAGCGTTTTTTGGGAGGCCTGGTGCTGGCCCTGCAGCCCACACCACCCCTGGGCTGGTGGCTGAGCCCCAGCAAGCTCTGTGGGGCCAGGCCCTGCACCACCATCGTGCACACACTCCAACCACAGGCTCGGCCGAGTGGTTTTCATTAGACCTACAAAGCAAAATTAGCCCCAGAAAGAGCCAATGCCTGGCACTCTTCCAGGCCAAAGCAGCAGCTTCTGCATCGTGCCCCTGAAGGCAGGGTCCTGCAGGCCCTGCCCTAGCCCCTCTGCCAGCAGCCCTCACCTTCCTGCCCCGCAGCGCTCCCAGTCCCCACCATGCTCACCCTTTTTCTGTTTTTTTTTTTTTTTTTTTTTTTTTTTTGTTTTTTTTTTTTTTTTTGTTTTGTTTTTTATTTTTTTTCCCCCTCTCAGTTAGGATAAACGGCACAAAAGGAGCCGTTCTGCTCGCCGCCCCCTCCCCAGCCTCCTCCTCCCCCTGTCTGGCAGGTCTGTGTTATTATTAAGACACTTGAGATTATGGTTGTCTGAAAGTCGAAGAATGACAGCAAAGAACCAGATGCTGTACACTGATAAATTACAAGGGCATTATGCAGAGGCAGCTGTACCATATAAAAGCCTAGTTTTTATACCCTGCCATGATTTTCCATGTGGCATCGTATGGTTCCAGCATCTGGGCGTCACCGTCAATGTCTCCCGTATATTTTGCTGAGCACTGTCATTATGATAATGAAGAAATTGCAGCAGACGTTAATTGCAGTTCCCGCTGGCTATTGCAAGAAGTCGAAAGCACGGCAGCGGGGCTGGCGGGGCCTCTCTCATCTCGCGGGGGGTTTCTTCACTCTTCTGGCACCAGAAGGGGGCTCTGGATGGCTCCGGGTGCTGTGATGCTCCCAGCATCGGCGCTGGCTGGGGCTGGTGGGCACGCTGAGATGGAGCTGGCAGGGCTCTGCCCCAGTCCCACTGCAGAGGTTTGTGAAGTTTCTTCTCCCACTTGGCGTTCTCATTTGTGGGATGAGCAGAGCGCAGCCATGGACTGCAGGAGGTGCCCCTGTTCCCTCCTCGGTCTGAGGCTAACTGCATGCAGAGCCGCTAATTTCCAGCCTTGCTATAGGATGTCTGCAAACTGTGTGTCCAGAAATGCTGGAGGGAGGAGCAGCGTGTTGCCTCCTGACCATCTCCCCCTGACATCAATAGGGGCTTTAGCAGGAACATTTGCTGCTTTGATGAGCAATTTCCTTTATACCCGTGGAAATCCCGCAGCCCTACCAGCCCCACCTGCCTGCTGGTGCGTGCCAAGGGCGAGTTGACCCGAGCTGCCTCCGTGCTGTGGTTAGGAACAGGACGATTGCTCACACTGTGCGAGATCTCAGGCCACGCGCTTGCCATAACCACACCGCAGGTGGCACTGGCAGCACATCTGAGGGCAGATACCCGGCTCCACATGGGCTGTAGGATCTGAGCCTCTGCTTTGCCCGGCGGGGACAGGACCCTGGGGACATTTGCAGGCTCCAGCCTCAGAGAGGACCGCTGTCTGCGGCTCTGATGCTCATTTATTCCCAGGAGGATTGATGAGGGGAATTTCAAGGTCTCAAGCTTGCTCTGACACAGGCAGTTCCCTCTGCCACTCCAAAATAATCGATTTCCCATGAGAGTTTGGATGTGTGACCATCACCAACGAGGTCATGGAGGGAGCCAACACCTCCAGCAACCTTCTCCCACCACAGCCAGGACCAGGAACGTTCTCCTGCTCCAGATCCTGCTCCGGGAGCAGCCCCACTCTCGGCAGCATCTGACAGCCGCCTCTGGGTGAAGGTTTTGGGTGTGGGTCCTGATGAGGGTGGCCACCCGGGCGATGCATAAAGCCTCTGGAATTCACTGCTGGCGTTCCCTTGCTCTGTGAGCAGCCAGGTGAGGATGGGCAGAATTGCCGTCCCCTGAGTCACCCCCTGATAAACATTTTTAATCAGTCTCAAAGATGAAACATTCCTGCTTTTTCTTTCTCTTTAGCCCAGCGGGAGAGGGGCTGGTGCCACTGGTGTGACTCATGGCAGGAGCAGGGCACTCGGGCTCTCAGCCAGGCGCGGGGCTGGTGCCGCCAGCACGGCCTCTGGGAACCGGCCTCGTTGGTGCTGGCTTGTGGGGACACCCAGGGCAAGTAAAACGGCACATCGGGCAAAAGTGGCAGCTGCAGGAAGCCCCTGGTGAGCCGGGATGGGGAGGCAGCTCCCAGCCCTGGGCAGCCCCTGTTTCCTGTGACTGCCCCCAAACCAGGGGATCAGCCAGGATGGCCTCAAACCTTCCCCCCAGAACTCCTCCAAAACGTGTACAACTTTCCAAAGCTCGTAAAAGCAGGTACCTCCACTTTTCCCTTCCCAACCCCTGCCAGACACACACATTTCTTTCCAAAGGGCTCTGTAAAGCTGCAGGTGGGAGCGGTGGCCTGCCAGGGAATGGCTGGTTTGACCAAAAGCAGCAAAGCCTGGGAAATCCTCGCTTGTTTCCCTTCTGGATCTGGTCTGAGGAGGTGCTGTGGCAGTGTGCGCCCAACACCGTGCCTCCTGCCAGCACCTGGGGTATCACCATCAAGCAGCGGAGCTGGTATCCTTGTGTTATGCACCAAGAGCTCATTCCCTTCTTTGGCAGGGGCTCAGCAGGGTCCGTGGCTCCATAAACCAGCACCCTGGGGCTGGAGGAGCTCCACCGTGCGGGTCTTGCAGTGCCTCTGCCCAGAGGCGATGCCGAACGCACTGACGCGGCGCTGAATTAAATCTCTCCCTCTCCGAAGGCAGCACTGGCAGTCATAACACTCACCTATTTTTTTCCAATGGGCAGTGGAAACTATGATGAGCAAATGTATACGGCTACGGCTTCAACGGAAAACTGCTCAGGGTGCCTGCACCTGGTCACCGAGCTGGCCCGCAAAACGGAGTGTGCCGGATTGAACATAAACAACGAGGGTGTGCAGGGGCTCAAGAAGGGTACAAAAAGGGGTTATTTTTTCCCTTCAAGGGGATGTTTCAGCTGCCTGCCAGGCAGAGTGCAGGGAGTGGATGGGGGTAAGAGGGAGCCTGCAGCCCCACGGGGATGCCCCCATCCTGCACTGCTAGAGAAGCACAGGAGGAGCACTGCTGAGCTCAGCCTAGCAGGGCGCTTCACTCAGCACACTCACAAGCATTTAAAATCACATGGAAACAAAAAATAGAAGCATTGCTAAGACCAAATAGCATTTATGCCAGCTATTGTCAAAACTCCAGCTACCAGGAAAGAAAAAAACAAAAGAAAAGAGAAGCCTACCAGGCTTTAAAATGAGGAGGAGATGGAGGGCTTCATGCTGGGGATTTGGGAGCTGCCCCATGAGCTGCACCCAGGGCTGGTGGGTGAATTAACTCACTGCTCAGGTATGGCTCATTCACAAATATCCGCCGCAGCTGCTGCGGTCCCGCTGGAGCCACAATTAGCAGCGATGCCCCAGCAGCTGTGCCAGGGCACGTCTCCTCTCGGTGACCCAAGGGACTGATTTACACAGGGTATGAAGGCTGCACGACAGTTAAAAGCCCAGAAAACAACAACGTTATTGCCTGGCCCTGCCTCTTGCCCGTCTCTCTTTCACTCTTCCCTTTCCCCAGAGAGGAACTATCAAGGGGCCAGGGGCAGCATCCCGCTGCTCAACACCCAGATCAGTGGCTGGGGGACTCCCAGTGCTGCCCGCATGCCTCTGCCTGCTCCATGCCCCTGTGGAGCACACAGCACCCTCACAGACCAACGTAACCACCTGTGTTATCCATGGGCATGCAGAAAGGTGCTGCGGGCAGCCCCACATGCTCTGGCACAGCCGGAGCTGCACAGAGCGATGCCCAAAGCAACAGCCTATGCTCCGAGCCTCTCTACATGGGGATGGTGAGAGCTTGCCCAGCCACTAGCTTTTCTCTGTGTCCTGCAGTGCCAGGAGCTCGCCCCACTGCCCAAAACATGGGGCATGTGCTTCCCACAGCCCCCAGCAGAGACCCCACTACAAAAGCATCTGCATCAGAAAGAAAAGGCCTGGGGGACAGAGGAGATTTCCTGCAGGGAGAAAAAAAAAAAAAAAAAAAAAAGGGAGAGGGAGAGGGAGGCTGCCCATCTCAGCTCATCGCTGCCTGGCACCTGTGTCCCAGGGCAGGCGTCCAAGCGCGCCGCGAGCAGGCGCGGTGCCACCGCAGCAGATGGGCACGAAGGCAGGCAGCACCGGGCTCACGCTCCCGCAGCCGCTCGGGGAGGGGGCGGCTGTTTAGGGCAAATTTCCCAGCTGAGAATGTCAAAACAGCTGCCAGTCTGGAGTTTATACACCTATAATTAAGGGGGTATGTGATTTCTAATCCAGCTCAAATGGAGCTGGATTAATTGGCAAACCTAAAAATAGCATCCGTGACCATGTAAGGCAAGCTTTTGTGTGCGGTTTAAATTAGGAAAGTGGGCTCTGGCTGGTTGGAGTAATCTGGGAGAGACAGAGGCATCGTTCTGCATCCAGACTGCCTACGAGGGCCTGATCCTGCTGAGGGACAACAGGAACCCACAGCACACAGCCCTGCCCAAAAGTAACAGCCTTGTTCCCACTGCCTGGAGCCCCCAGAAGGACTCAGGGTGGGTGGGCAGCAGCCTTACCTGCAGCTACCTCTGTTCCTGGGGGAATAGAAAATGTCTCCCCTTGGAGGTTAGCTCTTGGCTGGGCTCCTCCATACGTGCTTGCAGTTGCTGTGCCCCAGGAGACACCTCAGACCCCCCCTTCCCACACAGGTCCCATCAGCAGAACAAACTCTGCTGACTTGTGCTCAAACGCCGATCCACCCGCAGCCAGACTGCAAGGTTAAATTGCTTTTAATTTTTGTTTAATTATCTGCAGTGGCACAAATAACTAACAGCATCGATTTGAACTTGGCACACAAAGGCAGGTTCCAAATGGCAAAGCATATTATGAGATCGAATTATTAAACGTAGCTAATGAGCAAAATAATGATGTGGTGCCAAGCTATAAAAGGTTAGACTTTAAAGTTGTCACAGTTCATAAGCAAGAAAGATTTAATCACATTCTTAATCAAATATTTATATGATAATGTGTTTTAATCAAAATAATAGCAATTAATTTGGAGAGGAATATATTGTATGCTTCCTATCCTTGCATTATGGAGTTGTGGTTTTTTTTTTTTTTGCGGTGGGGTTGCAGAGCACTTATTTCCTTGCTGAATAATGCATCAGCTCCAGCTGCGAGGTGTCCCAGCTGCCTGTGCCTGGGGATGCACCGGTGGGGCCACAAAGAGCAGGTCAGGCCCTGTGGGTGCCGTTCACCCTGCTCAGAGCCTCGTGCTGCCCCCAGCACCCTCACCGGGTCCGGATCCATCCCGGCACAGCACCCGCCCGCCAGCCAGGGCCCCACGCTCTGCCTTTGAAGCGCTTGCTATTCACAAGTGATTTAGCTGCTACCTCTTTCCCTCTGAATCCTGCCAAATCTCATAACTCTCCTTGGCAGCTGATGCTATCGCAATGATTTCCAGCTGTGGAAGAAGCAGCTTAAAATGGCTGCTGTGTCGGAGCACCGATCCCCTCCTTTCTCCCATCCTCGTCACTCCGAGCGCCTGCAAAGCCTCTGCCGAAGCTCCACAAGGGAGCACCATGAGGGAATGGACATGGATGCTAGACCTGCAGAGACCTGCCAGGGAGAAAGAGAAATAAATCTAAAACTTTGCCCAAAACTTCCAAAATGAAGCTTGTTTGAAATTAAAAAAAAAAATAAAACAAAAAATGGGGGACCATTTCTAACAGGAGCTGCAACAGGTAAGGCGTTATCAGAAAACATCTCCTCTTGAGGAGCACACCAAAGTCCTTCCAGCACAATTCCAGGGAAGCAGACAGACAATTCAGGTATTTCTTTTAACAGAGCCTCCAAACCACTGCTGCTCACTAAATACAGGGAAAAGATCTTCAAACCATCATGCCAAGCAAAACAGAGACTATTGAACGGGAGCATTGCTCACCCCAACCCCTGATAAGGATGTGCCATTGCTCTATGCATAGCTCAGATGAAACTTTTGAGGAAGATAAATGCTGCAACACCTGCCAGGGCTGCAGCAACCTCAGCTCCTGCAACCCAGCCTGGCACCAGCACCAGGCTCACCCCTGCTGCCCTAGAGGTGCCCATAAGGCAGGACGTGCCACTCGGTGCTGGTCCTGGGGCTTGCAAGGCAGCCACAGCCAGACCCTTCCCAACAAGGTGTCCGTCACGGCACCAGGGATGGACTGGGGAGTCCATCAGAGACACCGCAGCAGTGTCAAAGCACTGGCCCTGCCTCAGGGCCCTTGGCACACACCTCCATGTATGCACAGCCCAGTATTTTTCTCCTCCTGTGTTCGGCCTCCTGTGCTGGGTGTCTGTATATGCACTTTTCGCTGTCTGCCTTTTTAACACTTCATCAGAAAGCTGGAATTTTTTTTAAGCACTAAGTTTGCCGTTTCTGTTGGAGTCGAGATGAAAAGCTTTCAGTGAGCCACCTTTGATTGGAATCACTTCTGTTGCCTTTGGTTTGGCCAGATGTTTCCTAATTACTTATCTGTCAAGTATTTTTTTTTAAATGCACAGACATTTCCTCTAAATGAGAAATAGTGTAAGGTTCTTGTTTAGTGTCTTTGCCTGAGTGAAATAAGCCAGGCTAAGCTTCATCAAGGCTGGATTTTATGCTTGAACATGCAACTCAACATCAAAAGCTTGATCTTTTTTATTATTCAGCACAGCCTTTTTAGACCAACTTTAGCAGGAGCCAAATGGCACATTATAACTTGGGATTTAGAACTTTTATTTTTAAGGCTAGCTCTGAATCATGCAGCTTTCTCCTGAGCCTGAGACAGTTTCGTGCAATAACTCAGGGCCAGAATCTGCCACCATTACTCACGTCAACAAAGACTTATTTACACGCACAGACTTACTGAACGAGTACTGCTTGGTGTGAGTAATGGCTACGGAGTCAGGTCTCATCCTTCTCCCATCAGAAAGCAGCCCCACGGATCTGGGCCCACGAGGGTGTCTGCCCCTTACTCGTGCAGTACGGGCTCTGAGGTAGGGAGACAAAGGAGGAAACCTTGAGGAGTAATTCCCCAACCCGACCGATCCCTCCTGGCGGGGAGCAGAGGTGTGACCTAACGAGGCAGATGTCGTTAACTGTCAGCCACTGCAGACATTTGGCATTGATTTGCTGCCTGGTGCTGTCAGGGGTCTTTTACTTCAGGTGAGAGTCCCGGGGACCCAACGTCACTGCTCCCTCCACAAACAGAGGGGAAAACCACCAGCCCTGGGTGTTTTAAAGATTTCACTTTCTTCTCCCCCCTCCACCCCCCAAAAAAATACAAAAACCCCCATGTCTATCACAGCAGCTGAGGGGCAGGAGTCACCCCATGCCCACTGGGCTGTGCTGCGCACCCAGGCACAGCAGGGCTGGGATGGGAGGGATGCAGGGGAAAAAATCTGCGGCCGTCCTCCACCCTTCCTGAATCCAAGCACTGCTGCAGATAATAGGCCAGTACACCAGAAGGGGATTGGATCAACCAAAAAATAAAGCCATATAACGATTTTTCAATAGCTTTAGCTGTCTTCGAGGGCAAGTAGCGCTCTTTGATGAAAGCAGTAAGATCAGGCCAGTAAAGCTTTAGGAGTTTAAAGTTATTTAATGGCTGGTTATTTTTCTTCAAAAAGAGGCTGAGCACACCTCTGCCTCTAGCCTTCATCGCAGCACCAGAAGTGCTTTGTCAGTGTATTTGTGACAAATTAATTATAGGGATGGAAAATCTCCGTAGAAATGAATATTCAAAAAAAAATTTTTTTTTACGCTGTTGACTTCAGGGAATGCACTTCTCTTTCTAACGCTGTGTGTTTTCCTCATTAGCTCTCCCCCTCCCCCAGCTCTTTTCAGAAACTTTCAGAAATTATTAGAAATGGTTTTATTTTCAGCTAGCCTGGGGAATGGCATTAGCAGTGGAACAAACCCAGTGACATTGGAGCCTTCCTGCCAAGAAGTGGCCCATCAACAAGCTCCTCAGAGAAACCATCCTGAAATTACCAAACCACTCCCGATTACCAGATACCAGTAAGATGTCAGCATGGGGTTATCTCACAAAGCTTTAACATTTAAGGGGTTCTTTTTTTGCTGTTTTAAAGCCTTTCTTAGCAGGTAGTGCACTCCCCTCAAATACCCTAAGTCTCCTTTACCTGCACCAGGCTGCACCAGCATCGAAAGTCAGAGTAGCAGCTGCAATGGTCACCTTACTGGTGGTTAGCCTGGGACATTCCTGCCACCCTGAGCCAAGAACCCACCCCAAAAAACTAGCCAGAGGACTTTGGCTCTGAGTCATGGCCTTCAAAGCCTGGTGAGCAATGCTGAGAAGGGCAGCAAGCATGGCTGGGTTTTGGTAGCTGCCACTGGAAGCATGCCCATCTGTGGCACTGGTTTTTCAGCATCTGCGTAATAGTGCAAGTCTTCAAAAACTCAACTGGGACGAACGTGACTCCATATTTCTGCTCTTTCTGACCTCAGAACAGCTTCCCAGAAAGAGATACAGGACTCTTTCTCTTTGCAACGTCTCTGGAGAAGCAGAGGCTCCTTGTTTGTCTCTGCCTCTGATTATTGTTTCTAAACTGCAGATCTTTCAACTTGGGCAGAAGTCATTTCAATGAGCACATTTCCTATCTGTGAATTTCAGTAAGGCCAACAAAAGCAGGAGGCCACGGCTCCCCATCACCACCCACACCTCTGAGCTATCCTCACCTACATCCCCATCAGGCTGCTGCTGTCCCCATCCCAGCACGGCTCAGCCCTGAGTAAATCACTAAGAAATCATCCTGCAGGTCCTGGTGGCTCTTCTGGACGGATTGCTGTGGGGTGATGATAGCAGGCACAGGAAGATCCCACAAACCCACAGCTCAACAAGGAGCCCCATTCCCTGCTCCACTGCTGCCTCCCCTTCCTCGCCTACCCCCAGCACCTCAATTAACAAGCTGCCTCGTTAATGTCCTAAACTTAATTAACAAGTTGAATTAATAAGTAGTCCAGGCTGCTTAATTAATAATTAATTACTCCTCGTTTAATAAGGACATCAGGAGCTAGTTCATAAGGGAATCACTTCAATAGATTAAGGTGAAACAAGGAACTAAGGAGCAGGGGAAGCATTAAGTGGCCGCATGGAGCTGGTGCCTGGACTGTGCCCTAAGAGCAGCTCTGAGCAGCTCCCCTTCAAGCTCCTGCCTGCCTCCTCCAGCCCCAAATCCGGGTCAGAAACACCCAAAACACACATTTGGTTCTTGAATCCGCTGATGACGCTCTCCAGAGCCCCGGGTCGGTGACAACTCATGGGGACAGCCCATCTCCTCCCAGGAGGTGCCTGTTCCTGCTGGAAGGGAGGAACTGGGGAAGGCACCTCACCCACGGGCTCTGCAGTAGTGCAGGAGGGTGGTGTCACATTGTATTTTGTACTTATCCCTCCCCTTTTTATTGCTCATTCAATCTGAAAACATCCTTTCCATGCAATGGCCTCTTACTTTCCAGGGAAGGACTGTGAAGGCATTGTAGTAGTCAAACCTCCTACAGAGAGAAGCTGCAAAGGTCTGCATGAAGAGAGAGGAGAGGGAGACCCCAGGGCTGCCAGGCTTCTTGGCATTTGTGCAGTTGAGCTGAGAGTCAGGGCAGACACTGAATCCTCTGCAGCACTTCCTGGGTGTCCATCAGCACGGGGACCTGCACCCAACCCTCTTAGGTCAACCAGCCAAAATGTGCTGGGACCATGCGAGAGACCTCCCAAAGCCCCTGCCATGCCCTGAACACCACGTGTGAAGACCCTGAGCACCAGGTGTGAGCAGCACTGAGGGTCCTGAGCCCAGGAAGGAATATGATTCTATGAATACCCTTCCCCACAGCGCAGCCTGGGCTCAGCTCAGCTGCACCCAGCTCAATATGTTGCCGGCAGTTTGACAACATGCACGATTTGGCATTTTTCAGTAGGAAAGTGTGAAGAACTATGTTGATGTTTTCTTCTCATTTTGATACAGTAAATGTCTTGTTTCTATATTAATATTGATCTCAAGGTGTGTATACATATGTATACACACACTGTATACAAAAATACTCATAATATCATGTAACATTTCAAATTTAGTTAAATAAAAGCAGTTGATTTCTCCTGATGGTATTGGTTTGAAATTTCCCATCCACAAACCACTCTGAAATCCCAAACAAAACAAAAAGTCAGAGTTGTTATTTCCCACACAACAGATGTAACGCAACAATCTCTAGGAAAACGAGATTTTTAGTTTTATTTTTACTTATGGTGACTTACGTTCATGGAAGGGCTCAAAGATGATATCGAGTGTAGCAACAAAAGCCTTTTCAGAGAGCAATTACCATTATTTTCATTTATAATGTCATCATTTCCAACCTGAGTATTTTAACAGAGGGCAACAACCATTGTTGTTATGGCCACGTTGAGAATTTATATTGATTTATTCTGAGAAAACAATTAATGGTTGTCTATTTTGTCCCAAAATTTGGTGGATAACCTGCAATAAAACACAAACTAAAAACTTTGTTACTAATAATCACAACAAGATGGGGTAAGGGGGGAAGCTATTAAATGACAAAATGCTACAGACAGAACCTGTAAGCAAAATTGAACTAGAAATTCAGCTTCTTAACAGAAGGATGCAAGATGGTACTTTCCACAGTGTGGAAATCCAAATCAGTGCCCTCACATCTCTTATTCAGCTCTCTGGTATCTGGTGTGTCTCTGATTTCTCAGTGCCATTTAGTGGGAAGGAGCTGAAGGCAAGTGCAACTTATCTGTTGACAGAGGGAAACTCTAGTTAACTCAGGATTCTTTTTATGATACAAATCAGTACTTCTACAGTGTCTCCTCCCTACAGAAGGCCAAAAGCACACGGTGTCTCATACTTAGCCATATTTTACAGAGGGTGGAAGGGCTCAGTGTTTTTTTCAGTCTCCTTTCACCTGCTGTCCTCTTTCCCTGCCACAGCACAGGCAGTTCAGACCCAGCCCCCTGCTCCCCAGCCATAAAGGTTAAAGATAAATCCAGTGATAGCTTTTAGCACCAGTAAGAAAACCAAAGAGTACCAAAGAGTAGTCAGTGGTCTCCAACCTAAGGAGAACTGGGCTTGGAAAGAACTCATCGCTGACTGATTTGAGGTATTTACCAGTTGCTGCATCTGTTGCATGGCATGGATGTTCTCCCTCTGTCATCTGCACAAATCCACTTGAATATCTTCTTTTGATCAAATAGCATGTACAACACTTGGTTGGCATCTGGCTTTGTAATGCAAACAGCAGCAACAATCCAGATGGCCTTATGGGGAGTTTTGACTGTTCTCAGATGCTCCAAAAATCCAGTGGCAATGCTCAAGCAAAAAGATATTTCCCCCTCAAGGCAACTTAACACTGTTTTCTACAGCGATTACCATAGTCAGATTTCCCTGTTTCCTAACCACTTGTCCTGAATTTTGTTTTTGTGCAGTCATACAATAACTACAGATTTGGGAGGGAGTGGCAGTCAAAAAAGGCCCAAAGAGCAGAGTGTGCACACCACTCCCATCCCTCTGAGCAGCTGGGAATTACAAACGTAACAAATTCCTGTCCAGTGAAAACTGCATTTACTCATCCAAAACACATGCACGCACATCACCACTGCTATGAGTGCTATGGCTTATTTTGGACCACAGTGGGCCACATGGATTTGTATGACTTGTAGATGCCTCATCAGAAGACTGGCCTTGCTGTGGGCAAGTGGCTCAGGCCTTGCTGAGACAGAGGCTGATTTTATTTCAGAGAGAAGGCAGAAAGCTTTGCATGTGTCCAGGGGGTCATCCTGAACCTCTTGGTTGTTGCTGCCCCATAGGAAGGCCCGGGGCTGCAGCCCTGCCTGTTGCAGTCACACTGCTTTGTGCCAGTTAGACCAGCTACAGAGCTGGGGACAAAGACAAGTCCCAGCCTTTCTTCTCACAGCTGAGCTCTGTTCCTCACAGCAGGGGATACCACCTGCTCAGAGCTGCCAGCTC